CCATTTGTATGGGAAGAAATTAACTGAATCTTGTATAGTCAATATAAACAAAACATAATCAGATTTAAACTCTGTGTGGAGTTCATCCTTTGGTTGCAGGTCAGATCTCTGTTGGATAGCAGACGACGAACACGGCCAACAGTGCTTGCCAGATAGGATGCAGATCGACAGCAGGACAATCAGGAATATTTAACTTCCTGTGCTCCCCTGGAACTGTACCATAGAAACGCACAGAAACCACACACACACACACACACACACACACACACACACACACACACACACACACACACACACACTAGTTACATGGGTTACACAGGCATAGTCAAAGGCTACAAATATGCATGCAGAATGGTTGCACACACATAGGAATATATATATATATATATATATATATATATATATATATATATACATGGACTCACATATACACACATTGCCTGTTGCCAAGGATTCCCAGTTAGCTGGTGTGACGCCATATGTTGCAGTACTGGCAGCACCACAAGTGTTCAGCCGGTGAGCTACAAACCTGTTAGAGGCTACGAACACACTCAGGTGTTGTTTGCACAACAGGGAAGGACAAATGAGTACACAAACACACACACAGACACACAGACACACACACACACACACACTTTAAAGTTGTTTTCCAGGTTCTGGGAAGTTATACAAATAAAAAAAACCTTCATAGATTAAAAATTCATAATACAAACAGGTAATAACTGAACTAGTTTGCAGTATAAGGTGTCCTGCCAAGGTTTTACAGATGTCTCTTATAATGTTTGCCAATGGGAAAAAGGCTTTTCTGTCCCAAAGATCTTTTGAGTTGAAGTACCGCGGTTTGGCCACTGGGACAGATTAGCAACAAAGTTGACACTGTATCCAGCTCTTTTACAAAAATACATTCATGGTCTTCCATCCCTAAGTTTTTCCAGTTATTGTAGTTACTGGCTGAGCTACAGTAGGGTGCTGCTCCTTTGAACATATATCAAAGTCCAAAAATGTTTTGTTGCTTTGGGGCCTCCATAAAGTTGTTACAGTATGATGACAGAAATCTGGGGGAAAAAATACATATAAGAAATTTCAAATTTAAATTAACATATAAAATAACACATATTAAAAATACTATTACTAAGTTTTAAAACATATCCTCACTGAGCTGGTAAAGCCGGATAGGGTCTCCTGCTCGCCTCAGTGACATATGGATCTGTCAAGTAAATCTATACAGGGGGTATGAAGCTCAGCACCCTGAGCTGAGGACTGTTTGACTTTCAACTCCCAGAATACCATCAAGTGGGGCTTCTCTTACTTTGATGGTTGGGTTTTGTGTAGTACAAAGACTTCTTGAGGTTTCATCTCTAGTTCTGAACAGTTGACTCCCTTTGTTTGTTCAGTATATGACAGGTGGTGTGCTTCACATCTCACTCTTGCACAACCCAAAGAAACACCAAACTTGTTGCTGATGCAACATATACAGAGTAAAATACTGTGCAGCTCAGCATAGGTGGCACTTAACATGCTTCACCTTTACTGGTTTCCATGTTTACCATCTATCCTGTCTATTTTGGAATGGTTCTACACTTTCTTGCTGAGGGTTAGATGTGAGGCCACAGTCAGGCCCAGGAGACCGTTAGCTTAGCTTAGTATAGAGACTGTAAGCAGGTGAAAACAGCTAGTCTGGGTCTCTACAAAGATCACTTATTTAAGCTGGAGAAAAACAAAAACAAATAATTGACGCACTCTCCCACTTCCACATAATTTCTTGTACAAGTGTTCAGGGCCATGATCCAAAACCAGATCAAGGGTCTCATTTACAGTCACTTGCCTGGACAGTGTGCCACCACAGAATGACGTGTGAGCAAGATAGAGAGGCCTTATTTATAGACCAAAGCTTCCAGAACTCATATGTGCAATGTTGAGTCATGTTGTGGTTGGATACAGTGCTGTTTTTGTTCCCATAATTCATGTGTGCGATTATTTGGTTGTTCCCCTTTTGGTCATTTTTGGTCATGAGCTTTTAAATACACCTGATTTCATAGGTGGAGGGTACAGTTGTGATAGGAAAGGCTAAATATCACATTTGTTCTTGTTGATCAAAGGGAAGGTTAGTCCACAAAGGAAATGGCCGTGTTTGTTACTCAGAAACTGGCAGGGTGGGTTGAGATAGGCCAATTTTCTTTCTTTCCACTCATGGACTTACCTCCCTGCTGCTAATCCTGCCACCTGAGCACCAGTAGCGCAGCATTGGTGATGCAAATCAGGTGATATTTGACTCACACTGCATAAAAAACATCAGAATATCAATTTTGTTGGTTTTTCATTCAGGAAGAAGCAATCCCACTAGCAGACAGCTCAAACAAGAAACACGTTCAGAACGTCATCATTAGCTGACTGGCATGTATAAATTTAAGTGGAGTAGGCTAAAAAGCTTATTAAATGTAAGTTACATCTGCAATATTTTTTAAACAAGGAATCTATATTTTTCTGTCAAGTTTATCTTCTCAGTTTCCCCATGTTGGCATCCACCATTGGTGGTAATGCAGTTTCAGTAAGAAATCTGTCAATAAAAGGATCCTGAGTAAACACAGATTAAGTGTATGATGATACCATAATCTATTGAGAAAGACATACTGAGACGTTTGTTAGCCAGCCTGCACTGGTAGATAAAAATGGTCTGACAAGCACAAGTCTTATTCGCCATAATACTGCACCAATCTTATCAATATAAGAGAAAGGCTTAGGCTATACAACCAATGAGTTGCTCTGTAGTAATATTTTATCAATAACATTTATCTTCATTCATTCTAATGTCACAGTCAATGTGCAAAACCTGAGTGAGCTCCCAAAAGTTTGCTGATTTATTATCACTGTAATGGATTTTAGGAGTGAGGCGTGTCATGAAGCCCCGTGGCACCACCCCTGTGGCAGAACATATCACAGGCAAAACTTTAAATCACTCAGCTTTGACTAAAGGTTCAATTTGTGCATATTTCTCGGATGCTTGCTGATAATTTCTCTGATGCTTTGTGAGGGTATCTGTCTGCTTGCGTCTCTCTTTCACTCTTCTTCCCTCACTCTCTTTCAGTTTATTGCCTCAGTTCAGGGAGGACACTTGAATCGAGTGACTCTTAGATGCCTCCACCCGAGCACCCAAGGACAGATAAACATTATGTAATGTCTCTGTGCAAACAGCAGTCCACTGTAGAAGAGCAATCACCCGCGCCACATGTAAAAAAACAGATGCATGAAGTAATAGGTGGCTTGCATATATTCTTTAAAAAGGAGGAAATAGGAGGAAAGACGCCTTAGAAATGTTCACACTTGCTATATTTAGTGCCAATGAAACTCTAGTGCTGTGTGTGCTAGTCACATGAGCTCAGACTTTACCTTCTCTTAGGCCTGTCTGTTCCCATCTATCTGCCTCTTTGTACTGAAAAGTACAAAACGGACCCTCCAATTTAAGATAAATTCATATTTCTATGTTGTATATAGATTGCTGTACAGGTTATTGATAAATTTCCAAAGCCTCACGTCATATACTGCATCTTCAGGGTATTAATATTTTGGGGTTCACACCACTTTTAGATAAACATAGTTTTTATGCATGTGTGTGACACCAACCCAGTCTGTCTTTCTTGCTTTTTGGCAGGAGATGTTGGGTCGGCTTCAGTTCAGGCAGCAACACAAGCTCACCATCTATAAACTCTCTGTGATCATAAGATACACTTGGCACATCTCTCCCTGTAAACACACACACACACACACACACACACACACACACACACACACACACACACACACACACACATTCAGGACACTGTGTATCTGTGTATGTATATCCAGCATATTATTCTGCATAGGCAGTGTGTGCATGGGTGTGTGTACGTGAGATGTAATGTGTGCTTGCGTGTGTGTTTGCACATGCATCTGTGCGTGCATACACGTGTGCATAGGCATGCATTTGGTACAGGTACATATATGCATATACGTGTGTGTGTGTGTGTGTGTGTGTGTGTGTGTGTGTGTGTTTATCTAGAGGGCATACCTCTGGCCCTAAAGGCCTGAGGGTCTCTGTTTTGATCTACAAGGATTAAACTGCATCTGCCTGTCAACAGGGGTGTGTGCATGTTTGTGTGTGCTCTTGCACGTGTGGTTGCTTGTGTCTTTGTGGGTGAGTGATCACACAGGATATATGTGATTGTCGTTGTTAGCTCTATAATGCCAGTTAACACCTCATAACAAGATAAAACACAGACACGCCCAGACAAATGTTTGACAGGGAAGGAAGGACAGATATATGTAGAAAAGGAAGGCTAGAGGATGTAAAACATTTAAAGCATGCCTCTTTCAATTGGTTTAATACAAAATAGACCACAGAAAACTATGCTGCCTGCTAAGCTTTAAAAATGTAAAAGGCTTTATCTAGAGCCAGTGTTTGGTTTGTCCGTTCTGGGCTGCTGTAGAAATAGGGGGGTAGACTTGCCCCCTCTGTAGATAAAAACGGCTCATTCTAAGGTAGCAAAAACACAACAATTCTTTAAGGTGATTACCAATAAAAACATATCTATGAATATTATGTTCCATGCTTGGATATTCTGCCAAAAGATCGTCCGAAATGTTACACACTGGGCCTTTATGGGCTTAATTATGGTAATAATCTGTTTTAGAGGAAATGCTCCCACAATTTAAATGCTCGGAACTAAGAATAAACTATTTTATGTAATGAAACCACCAAGGGGAATTTTTTCCCCCCACAAGATACTTCCCAAAGCTGAAATCAGAGCAATGTGACTTGAGCTGTATTTTTGTAAAATTTTAAAGAGCAATGTAACACCAGAGGGCATTTTTGTTTTAATGGACCTCCAGTGGTTCATACTGTCATCTTGCTGCAGAGGCATGTCAGGTAACCTTTTAGGTGTGGTTACAGGTGCAATGGACTTGAAACTTTCAGCTTTTGCAGTGAAGTTAACAAAAGATGCAATCCACAACACTTGCAAACATTCAGAGGACAATCAGATTGCAGGTTTTAATACAAAAAACAAAAGACAGTAACCAAGACTTTAATAGATACAGCTACACAGGACAAACAACACAAGTCATGCATGTTAAGTACATTAACCTTAACATACCTAAATTGGAAACTTGTTCCATGGAAACAGGTCAAACACACACACACACATGCACGCACGAACATACACAGGCACACACACACACACACACACACACGTATACAGTGTGTTTTCATGTCGAACTGTAAAGCTGTGTGTGTGTGTATTGAGGCAGTATAGCTGATTGTATTTCCTCTGCAGCAGCTGATACTGTAGCTGCTATGACCGCTCGCACCTGTCACTGTACGTCATGCCTCACATACACACGCGCATATACACACACGCACACACACACACACACACACACACACACACACACACACACATACACTTCAACTTTAATGCAAACAGGCAAGCCGAGTCTTCGTGACTAACTTGGATGACTGAATAAGCACAAAAACCCTCTGTCCCATGGGCTTAGTTAAAAAGGTTGCAGTGCAAGGAGAATCACATTTCTTGATCTCATTTTATTTGTCGACAATGAGCCTTTTGATACAAAGTTTGGCGATATTGCCAGAGTTATGGGCATTTCTTATATGCCTTATGAGAAACTACAGCTGTCTTTGAAATTAGATTTTTTTGATGAATGCTTTGCTTGGTCAACAGCATGAAGCTCATCTGTCAGGCAAATTTTTTTAGCCCAACTGGCTACTTGACAAATTACTATTTCCATATACACAAGCTCACCATCAATAAACTCTATAAACTCTATAAAGGAAATATTAGATTAGCTCCATTCTAATAAACTGTGTCTGCATGGCTTTCTTCCACAAGAAGGACTTCTATAGTGGTATCAAAAACACTTTACTGGTAATTAACCAGTAAAGAGTATAATTTTAGGCACCTAAATGCTTCTACAAATAACCCCTAAATTCCCCCAGGTTGTTTGTTAGAAAGCAAGCTGTGACGAGTATCACAAGATAATATTAAGCTTATTTTAACCTTATTTGTCTGCTATTATTAAGCATATCTTCCTCTTTTTCTTATCTCTCTTTCTGACAGCCTGTCTCTTTTTCACACGCACACACACACACACACACACACACACACACACACACACACACACACACACACACACACACACACACACACACACACACACACAAGCAACATATTCAAATAATACAATTTCAAACTTCATTCTTTTACTCACAAAAATATACAACAGCCCATGAATAAATATTTACAGAAGTGAGATGACATTCATGTGAGTCTGATGGAGGTAGAAAACAGAATCTGCTCCTCTGGTGTAAAGCTACACTTCTGAAAATTTACTTTTACTTTCAGATTTGTCTCAGTATACCAAGACAGACACACATATATAACATAACATGATAAATCTCTTTCTGATTGTAGACTTGTGTTTCAGTGCTGCCTAAACTAAAACATCATGATACAAAACACACATTAAAGAATTAGTTCTTTTTAGATAAGTTACTGAATTTGAAATAAAAAACAAAACTACAGTATTTTCCAACTTTTAGTTAGTCCAAGTCTCATACACATTACAGTAAATTCAAATATCCAATGGCATGTTTCAAGCTTTAAAATGAACAAATAATCACAAGAACACAACACATACATACAGACTGACAAACACACACACGTGCAGATTATATTTACAGTAAACAGTTGCCACTTATTTACGCTTAATACCTTTTTGTTGTTAACACAAATTGAATAATTATCTGTACATATAAAAGCAGGGCTGGGGAGATTATTTTCATATTATTTCATATATTTGTCCACTTGGAGTAATCTGATACTAGGTTGTGGGCTCCTTTATCATTATCACTATGAATTTGTAAAATAACGATATGAGAATTAATCCAAACACAATTTCCCTTCAACCAAGTTTCTGAGCATTCAAGATATGTGTAATCATATTGCTATGTTTTTACAGTACGCGTAACGGACAATGTCATGGAAGCAGATCCTACTGCATGAAAATTATCTCCCCAGCTCTGTCTGACAGATTGCAATGTTTTTACTATAACAGAGCAAAAGCAGACAGGATAAAAGGAACGAGTGGGTAGATGATGATGTTTGGAGCGAGAGGGAGGGAAAACAGTTCCAGCAAATACGTGATGAAAGAAAGCGAACACAGGGAGAGAAAGAGCAGTTATGATAGTCACAAGTTTGGGTCTCAGATGTTTATCAACTACACAAATATACACCAGTAAATTACTTTGGACCAGCTATAAGGTTTATCATAACGGAATGAAAAACAGGCGGTCTGACTAATTTTTTCTTTATTATGATTTGTTTAATTATTATGAGACCCGCTGTTTCAGATAAGACTTTGAGCCACAGGGCAAACAAAATGCACATCTCTGCTTCACAAAGGTTTTTTCTTGATGTGCGGTTTTGCATAACGTTATTTGCACTGCAAATGAGGTGCTAAATTCCTGTTTGTGCTTCCTACCTTGTGGGTTTATACATAAAATAATAACTGTATGGAACCACTGTGTTCAGAGGCTTCATTAATGTGGGAGCCTGAAAACTATTATTCCCATCAGCTTCTATATATGAGTGATGGGATCCACAAGAACACATTATTTTCTTCCAATGTTTCAACAGTTTTTGGTTATTTCAATAGAGCGGTTTCTGTATTTGTTTATCCTCTGTCCTCACTGGTTTGAAGCATACTATTTGGGAACAGCCTCTTACCCTCATTCAGAGCTAGAGCAAGTGCCCTCCGTCTGTTCATTTGATATGTATATATACATATATATTAAAATAAAAGGTAAGGATATGGTGACAAGCTTCAACAAAAAAGGCAGCAGGTGTGTCTCAATTTTACAATGTCCCACAGCCTCAATGTACTACCACTGGTGACTTAGCAGTTGGTGTTACAATATATTTATGTCATGGCCCTTTAACTATAGCTGTAAATAGACGGGCGGCATGATTTGCCTCTTCAAAGCCTGACAGTGTGAAGGAATTTGAACCAGCAACCTTCCAGCCAATTGCTGATTTTTCTACACTCTTCTACACAATTTGTTCATTTTCCCATCAGACTGCTTTTAAGAAAGTAGCGTTTTGGAATGCATGAGCATGCATGATATTTATTAATATTATTCAGCCATTAGTTATTAAAAGCTTTTCACGTATTTGCTGTGCATGGTTTAATTGTGTAGCTGCCAAAGATTTACATCACTGAATTGTTATTAGAAAAACTGCAGCAGCAAAACCTCAGTAACATTGACTGAAACACACCTAATGCAATATTAACACTACAAGCTACAAACCCCAAAACATTGAGTCATTCTCAACCAAAAACAAACATTTAGAGCTTGGCTTAGCTTACTGCATGGCTATGCACACACAATGTAAAGTCTACTATCCTAATTGGTCAAGCTATAGAAGCCAGATTTTCCTTACATTTCCCATTAGCAGAACTGTTATCCTGCCAGTTGGACTGGGAACCAGGAGCTACTTCTAAAACCTGCTCACAGCAGGCTGTCGGAGGAGCCAGAGTTAGTGAGCTGTCTTGAATAGAGCTCTCCAAACTGCCCTTCCACCCTAACCTCTGCTGAATGTCCAGCCTCCTAACACCATTCAGGTCTGAGTTCCCATTTGTCCTACCTGGGGGCTTGGAGTCCCTGCACCATCCCCATCCTCTCCTTCCTCTCCAGCTCCACCCTTTGCCCCTCAGACAGAGTATCTCCTGAAAGGCGTGCCTGAAGTCAGCGCTGCGGCAGTAGATGAGCGGGTTGAAGGCTGAGTTGGAGTATCCTAGCCAGTTGAGGAGTCTAAAGAGCAGCTTAATGTCACCCAACTTGAGAAAGGCCATGAGGATGTTGAGGATGAAGAAGGGTAGCCAACACAATGTGAAGGTTCCCATGATGATCCCTAAAGTTTTCACAGCCTTGTGCTCCTTAAGACAGAACTTAAGACGCTTTGTGGCAGAATGTTTTCCTTCCCCTTTTTTTGTCCTTGCTCTGCTCTCTCCTAACTTTCCCTCCCCACCAGTGTCTATACCGTCTATTTTCTGCATATTTAGACTGTCCTCTCCTTGTTCTTCTACCTCAGTTCCTGCCCTGAGTCTGTTCATTGCAGGACTATCATCATAAGTCAGCTGTGCAGAGTAATGCAAGTTATAAAAGTGCCTCTCCCTCCCTCTGATCTTCTCCAGTTGTTTCTGAGCCTCCTGGAAGACCCGGGTGTACAGGAAAATCATCACCACCAGCGGCAGGTAGAACGACACAATTGAGGAAGACACAGCATACTCTACATTGGTGTTGAAATCACAGCAGTATTCGTCTTTCAAGCACTGGACAGCTTCCACATCACGTGACACCCACACCTTCAGATGGATGGGCAAGAAGGAGATGAGGGAGGCCACTGCCCAAACCCCAAGGATCACTGCAAAGGCCCGACCCCTGGTGAGCAGCAGGAGACAAGAGAGTGCACATAGGTGAAGAATATTGTAAACAGGTGAGTGAAGATACAGATAGATGAGAGGTATTGTGCTAATTGTATATTATGTAGGCTGTCCAAAAGTGTAATAAAGGTGCTCTAAAACATAGAGCAACCTGAAAGGCACCATTTGGTAAATAGCAAACCTTTTTTGCCTTGACCAGGTCTTGAACTGAATTATAGTAGTCTACTGCACTGATTTAGCGTTCCACTTTTGTAACATTGTCACATTCATGATGGATAGTTAAAAAAAGTTAAAATCAATGCAGAAGAACCAGAGATATCATCTTTTTTTCTTCCACACATTCTTCTTTCTTGACAAAACTTGGTGACTACTTTACCCACAATGAAACATGGTAGACAACAGTTGACTTAAGATTCAGGTGCTATGCTAGTAGTAGTAATATAGCCTCCAGCCAATTTAGCAGATTTTGCACTGGTCCCTCTGAAGCCACAAAGACTTTCTGTATGTATATTTATTCCTAACATCAATGCAGTTCCCCTTTAAGTTGTATAGACTTCTACTTGTACAGGTCCTTTCCAGAATGCTTAAAAAACAATAATAAATTGATACAAATTTGGGACCAATATTTTACAGTAACAAAATAACCATGCTGAGTAATAGGATGGAAAGTTACTGTTGCACTGCTATATGGATTCCAGTTTTCCAGTATCTTCCACCTCTGGCCACACCCCAAAAAGTGACAACACAATAGGTTTTGCCTTTGACAGTTGATGAAAAACACCTGCTGAGAGTCCACTGGTTGGGGTGTGGCTGGACATTTTGAACATGTAAAGAGTGGTGCAGCACGGTACACCTCTTTTTGTGAGTCATTATAGATTTATCTAACAAAGATCATTCAGCAACCAAGGAGTAAAACTGATGATTTGTGCCATTACGTGTTTTGTAATAATATTTTGTGATATAAAGTTTCTATACCTAAATAAGTATTGTACTTCAACCCTCTCAAAGCCAGACCAAAATATCTTGTTCATACCTTGTGAGTAGCGTTGGGTATCGGAGTGGGGAGGTGATGGCGAGGTAGCGGTCCAGAGCAATCACACAAAGGGTTTCTATGCTGGCCGTCACACAGAGCACATCAGTTGCTGTCCAGAATTCACACATGAAGTTTCCAAACTGCCAGGCTCCCAGCAGGATGTGGCTACAGCCAAAGGGGACCACAACCAAACCCATGATGAGGTCAGCAATGGCTAGCGAGGCGATAAAGAGGTTGGTGACTGTCTGGAGCCGCTGGAACCGCAGGATGGCCGTAATCACCAGCACGTTACCTGGACAGCAGAGAGAGAAATGTAACTAAAAAAGACATCTGAATGTTGAAAAATATATATATATTAGTTTTTATCTTCCAAACAGTTAATACCACAGACCATGAGTAAGTAATTGAAACAATGAAATGTTTTGTAACTTACCAAAAACTATAGCCAGAACCAGAATGGCCATTGCAACACCAAGCAACGCAAGCTCTGCATCACTGTACTCGGAAGATCTTGAGGCTATGGAGGAATTGTTGTGCTCTGATTGGTTAGCCAGTGGTGAGGCAGTACTCCCATGTTCCATGATCTACAGTCAGGACACACAGAACAACACAGCTTTGTTTATAATGGATAAAGAAAGCTCTAGAAAGCTCAAAAGTAGGGTTCAGTTCAGGCTTTGAGTCTTCGGAGCAGCAGTAGCTTAGTCTGTAGGGACTTGGCTTGGCAACTGGAGGGTTGATGGTTCAAGTCCAGCACAGACCACAGTATGTGCACTGCTGAGGAGCCCTTGAGCAAGGCACCCAACCACTAATTTCTCACGGAGCGCTCCTATGTGGCAGCCTATCTCTCCATGTATAAGTATGAGTGAAAAAAAAAAGATTAATAAAGTATATCTCCCTGTTTCAGACAGTACTCCTTTCCAGTGGGTGGTGTTTTACTGGTTGATTTTTAATCGTTGTATGTATCTTCTTGGGGCTTGAGACAATGCCAGCTTCTGGTAATTCTCCTAATCAATGAAGAAGAAACGAGTTTGTCCCAAACATGCAGTTGAAACATTGCAATGTGTCCGACTCCTGTTAGATAAAAGCATAGATACACTATTTGGATATCAAAAGTTTGCTAAGAACACGCCAAGTCACATCTAAATTGGAGCAGTACTTTCATATGAAAAGTGGGTCATACGTCAGCTGGTGAGAGCTTCCCTGCCAGCTTTCTCATAGACATGAACATGTGTGATCTTTAGCAGAGGAAGTAATAACACGAGTTCATCAAGTTCAGCGGTCTGAATGCAGTTTTTTTCCACCAGTGAACAGCCCTTTGTAGTAATAGCATGTACGTTTCTCATGTCCATACCAGCATACTATTTACCTCAGTAAATTCATGATAAACAAATTATTATGTTTTTTTAGTACTTCTTGTGGCATTTTTTTATGATAATGAATAGCAGAATAACAGGATATTAGAGGTTATATTCAAAAAGTTCAGACTTTAAATGTTATTGTCTTAAACACCAACACCACCAGGACTCCCCAAACGAGTTAATAGATTAATACATAGTTAGTACAGAATTTACATTTGGCATCCAGGCTCTGACCTAATCTCTCCCTGCCAGCATACACCAAGCCTACAGGTAGATGCTTGAAAATGGTAGATTAGCTGAGTATTAAGGCTTTTTTACAGCAATGCCCCAATTGACAGGAGACATCTGGTGATTCCAACAGTCGGGGGATGTTACTCTTGGTACTGTTAAGTAAGCAAATAGTTTAGGATGATAAATCCCCCTACAATAGCTACTCATTGTTAAATGACACAGTTAAAAGGGAACAACATGTACGGTGCGTGTGTTTTAATGCATCACCTCAAAGGTTGTTTGGTCAACTGGATCTTCTGTGTGCATATGCACTTGGGTTAATATGCATGTTGGCTCTGTTCCAACACAACCAAACACACCGAATACATGTTAATGCCAGCTGTAAAGAAAGACGCATTGATTCAGAAGTGTTTACCCAGTTCTCCTACGGTCAATGAGCAAAGTGTTGAAAACTTGGATGCATTTCAAAATGCCAGGGTGGACCATGACAAGATAATTTTTTTTGTGACAATAATTAAATTGCTGCCGTACATAAACAAAGCCTTACAGTGTTGTTACGTCACTGTAGTAATACAGTGCATTAATTATCAGTGTTAGTATGCCAATCATACTGCCTCAAATGTCCCCAACTCATCACATTTATATTTAAACAATATAGAGGTGCCAGAGTGTGGGGGGAATGATGGATCTGCGGCAAAGTTAACCACAGACTCATTTTAAAAATCAATCTTTCATTACTGATGCTTAGAAGCTGTTTCAATTGTAATGAATGAAGCAAAGCACAGTCGGCCGCTGACAGATAATAATACTTCAAACACAGTCCAGTACTCAGCTTTATATAACCAAAGCAAAGACTTCATCTTTTATTCATGTTTTTAAGATGTTCAGTGCACTTGTTGCTTTCTTGGTGAAGCATGAAGCGTGTGACTGTTCACCCACTGATCAGATCAATAACCTATGTGGCTATGTCAAGCTTGCGAAAGAGGCTCGGCTCCCCCCGCTCTTCCCCCTGCATAAGCTTTTTAAACAGTTACACACAAAGAAACTTGACCAGCTTTCCAAGGCCAATAACCAAACACAAAAGATTTATGGAGACATTAATATCCCAATATTTAGGCAGAGATAGCTTAGTGGTTGTAATTATACTGAGCACTCAAACACACAAAAATGCGTACAATAATACATGGGCAAACACACACACACACACACACACACACACACGCACACACATAACACAAAACACAAAAATACACATGCACACAGAACACCCAGTGTTTAGTAGAATAAACTGATGATATTAGACCAAATTGTGAGGGAAGAAATGTCTTTGTACACTTTGTGAGAAGTGCATATGTTCTAATAACAACTGAGTCATAAATCATTTTCATGTCCAGATAAAATAAACCATATATGTCAAGGATGAAAGTAAGTTTGGATTCACTGTCCTCACACTGCAGAATCTGACTTATTTCTGCTAAATTAGGTTTGGTCAGAGTTCTTTGTCTGGCAGCTGTTAAGAAAGAAGAAAATTAGACTGATGCTTTTTAAATATACAATATGTTAAATATTAGATAACCTACATGCAGTAAATGCATTTGCAAAGTCTTCGATCACACGGCAGAAAAGATTCAAATTTGTCATTAGTTATAACTTAATTCAACGTGGACTACTCTTAAAAATAAAACATAAAACATTTTAATTAATAATAATATATTTTTCAAAATATAAATATATTTTTACATACATGCACTCACTAGGACACAGTGCATGCATGAAGCAAATGTGCATAAACCAGACCGAAAATTTGTTTGTTTTCCTACCTCCAGAATCTGTCCTCTGCTACAATCCAGTGATTTGATAATCCAGAAGCTTTTACATCCACAACACAAAGGATCATTATAAAGTGTTTGTCAGCAGCTTTTTGGTGTCTCTTCCTCTTCTGCTAAGTTATGAATGCCTGGTTTTGTGTGTGTGACACATACAGACACACACACACACACACACACACACACACACACACACACACACACTGCCTCGCTCGCTGTTTCCAGTACACGCTCATGCATAAACACACTCTCTCAGCCTTCAACCACACATGCCCTTTTGAAGCAGCTGAGCCGGTCACCCTTTTTTATAAGCAAGCCCTCATGACATCACAGCAGGACAGTAGCCTATCAGAGGACAAGGAATGGCTTTTAGTGTATATCGCATGTCTGCAGTGTACTGACAGCTCGACAGCACCAAGTGCTCTCTGGGAAACATTAGTTTCTTAACCTTTATTTATTCAGGGAAGGCTTTTTGAACTATTTCTCAGCACCACCATACTTCATATTCACACATGGGGCTGCTGTAAAAAAACACATACTTCTGTTTGGCTGGTGGGTAGATGTGCTGGTGCAACTCAGCTAAGCTTGGGTTGTGATTAAGGTTGTTGTGGTAGGCAGATAAAACTGTTTCTGAACAGCAATATACAAATACTTACAATGCTGCGAGTTGAATCCAGGTTAGTGGAACTGAGGGTAAATGTTCACATGGCAAGACAGTGTATTCAGCAATGTGAGTTCTGCCTCTTCTTTTATGACTAATAGAGTATACATATGGGATATAAGAGGAGACTCAGACAGTCACAGTAGTCACAGCTTAACAGCTATTCACCAACCTACCTATAGTTTTACTTTAGCTTAAATTAAGACACACTGTTTCACAGTTTACTTAAACTGCAGCCCTGTGTTTTGTAAATTGATAACTCAGTTAGCTTTATTTGAGTATTGATGTTTTTACACAAGCCTGGGTGTTTTAGGATGTTGTCAGGGGAACATCTGTAAGGCAAAACCTGCAAAAGTGCAGGTTGATTCAGCTGACTTAAATTACTTTGCGAGATGAACATTTTATTTGTATAGCGCCAATTTACAACAACAGTTAACTCAGGACACTTTTCAAATAGAGCAGGTCTAGACCGTACTCCTTCTAAAGTTATTTACAGAGACCCAACAGTTCAAACCATGAGCAAACACTTGGCAACAGCGGCAAGGAAAAACGTCCTTTTAAAAGGCAGAAACCTCGATTGCCTCGACCGGTTGGGGTTAAAGAGAGTGAGAGGGAGAGGGGGGCTATGGGGGTTAGAGGGGGAGGGGGTGGATGTTAAAGAGAGAAGGACAGACACAGCAACAGCAACAACAACAGCAACAACTATACTGGTAGAAATTACCAATAATGATGATAATGATGATGTTCGGATTGGATGTTGCCTGTTCAGAATGATACATGTGCAGAGTTTGGCTGCTAGAATACAAAAGTGCATACATGTGCACACACATGAACGTTCGGTACACTTATGGGTCCAGGTTTGAGAGTTTGAAAATGTGGTTGATCTAGTCTAGTAACATTTTCGAAATTATCAAATATTTGAATATTCAGAAGATTGTTTTTACATGTCTTAAAACATATCTGGAGTGGATTTTTAAGAATTCTAAATGTGATGCCATTGTTACATTATGCCATTGCCAGTCTCTGGCACCCCCAGTAGTATTACAGTATGAAAAAATATTGTAGTAGACAGAGTTTAATGGACAGAGAGAAAAACTGCATGAATGTTCTCTGGTATTTTGGGCCATTTTTCTCCATGCAAAACTAAGGTCATCTGAATAATTTAAATGATGCTATAATTGAAGGACAACCCCCCAGAGTCAGTTTAAGGTAGTCCATTCAACTAAATCCTGAGTCAACTCTGTCCTTGCAATGACAGAGGAATTGCACAAAGCTAAGCTCCCTCTCTTCTGACCTCATTATGTTGGACCTGTCTGTTGTGATCAGCAAAGTGAACCACCAGATGAATGCAAAAAACAATAAGACCAACAGGGAATCCACAGGGATCAGTTCTGGGTCCCTTGCTAACACCCCACTTTACAATTCCCTGTAGCCCTCAAGGCAGTGAAGAAATGTTCTTTTCTACCTCCAAGCCACAGTCAAACCTTGCACTCTTGCTACCATGTTAATCTGATAACCGTGTGTGGTTGATCCTGGCCCCAAAATAACTACTCTCTTTTGAGTGGTTGTATACCACAGACTGTACCCGGCTAAGTATTGTTCATGCATCATTGAACACAGTGTTCTGTCTGCTTAATGCTGGTGCACGTACACAAGAAAACTCCCACACCTTCCCTTTTAGGGTTTGTTTGTCAAGAAGCCCAGAGCAATATCTATGTGGCCAAAGGGACTGATTAGTGATAACGTTCTGATCATAGTGATTCATCTTCACTGTCTGAGTCAGTTATGTTCTGACCACCCAGCTGATCTGCAGTCATTATTCTGGTATGAAACAGTCTGTTTGTTTGTGCTGTCATCCTTCAGTGGAGCCTGCAAACAGTTCATTTGAAGAACTTTCCACTTGCACACTTGTTCACACTTGTTCACACTTTAATGTGTCCTCCTATGAGAAAAGCAACCATATCCTCCTGTCTGTCTGTCTGTCTGTCTGTCTGGCTCCAACACATTCCTCTCCACACCTCTTCCTGTCCTTGTACAGTCCCTTCCTCTCTCTCTCCACATCCTACTCTCACTGCCACACCTTCTCACTCCTAAAATGTCCATCCCTTGATATCATAGCTCTGCTCGCTATACAGAGCTGATTCTTGTCTATATTTTTTTCTTCTACTCAACTGTCTCAAAGTTGCTCTTTGTTTTTTCTGCTCTCCCTTGTTCTCAACACTGGGCCATCTGAATGATGTATTATTCATGACTTTGTATGTAAAAAGTTTTGAAACCCTGTAGAGTTGTGACATAAATCAAGTTTACATCAAATATAATGGTGCCCCAATTACATTTTGATAAACAGAATTAAGAAATGTTTTTAATGAACCTATATACGGTACACCGATCAGTCATAACATTATGACCACTGACTGGTGAAGTGAATAACACTGATTATCTCATTATCATGGTACCTGTCAGTGGGTGGGATATATTAGGCAGCAAGTGAACATTTTGTCCTCAAGTTGTTAGAAGCAGTAAAAATTAGGAAATGAGACGACTGGGTCAGAGCATCTCTAAAACTACAGCTCTTGTGGGGTGTTCCTGGTCTGCAGTGGTCAGTACCTATCAAAGTGGTCCAAGGAAGGAAAAATGGTGACCTGGCGACAGGGCCCACGTGGTCTGATCCAATAGACGAGCTACTGCTCAAATTGCTGAAAAGGTTAATGCTGGTGCTGATAGAAAGGTGTCAGAACACACAGTGCATCACAGTTTGTTGCATATGGGACTGCATAACATTGCCCAGGTGGTCATAATGTTATGGCTGATCAGTGTACAATTCAACATTCACTGCCAATATCTTTAATTTGTTTTCTCTACAATATCCTTTCTTGCAATATAATATCTGCTCATGGCAACTAAAATATGAAATATGATTTTGGTAATAAAAGATTATCTTGGTTCAGTTATGTAAAATCCCACTGAACATAATACTGTTTCTGTCAGAATTTTACTGACAAAACAAATAAGCAGAATAGAAATGAAATTTCTCGAAGACAGGGTTTTAATTTTTTTTACATTTATTTTTATTACCAGTTTTTCTTTTTTGTCTACTCTGTCTACTAAAAAAAATCACAACATTTTTGAAAGGCATCATTGTCTTTTGTTGTCGGTCACATAGCAACAGTGTTTCTACACTGCACTTAAACATGACTTGAAGGGATCATATGACACAAGCCAAGCAACAGTATGTTTCCCAGGGAAGTGTTTGATGATAAGTGAGAAAAAAAGAGAGAATATACACATACTCTTATGTTGTGTTGCCAGTTTGAGTTTGTCTCGTGGTCTGTTTTGTAGATTTCCTGCTCTAATCTTCTCTGTTACTTCCATTGAATCCAACACCCAGTAAAACTCAAAAGCTTTAAAAGCACTTTGTAAATAACAGAGTGGCTGCATCTGTATTTGGTGGTTGCCTCAAGTGGTGGGACCAATCTAAAATGCAGCTATGTTGCGGCAGACTGTCTTGAATGTGTCACACAAGAACTATTATATAATGATAAGATCTGTTTCTCAGCTGCAGCATTACAGAATAAATGTTTTCACACACGAGATGTCATCATCAGAATAGATTTTCGGGAAAGCCACATTTATTTTATCTTAATTCATTGGTAGAAAACATTTAAAGTGTTCTGCGTAAATAAATAAATCTGTTGCAGAATAATACAAAAGTAATTAATAATCTCATTTGCAGTGAGCGAACAAGAAAAAAAAAAAGACATTCCCACCCTCAGCTGGGATTTTGGTGCAGTTTATTTGTTCTTCTAAGAGAGGCCCGCTCTGTACAGTATATCCTGTACATAATGTGCATCTGGGCCACTGAGACCATACTTAGCTGTTTCCTGCTGCTATATCCTAACTAGTCTGGATTTTTTTCTCCCTATCTTTCCTGTACCACGACCTGACAATGGCTACATGGACTGGCATGTTCCGATATGAGCAGATAATCTAAATTACAGTGACCCAAATAAGATCATAGTGAATTAAGAGTAATCAAATAAAAATAGGTACAGTATTCAAAATGTGACCAAAACTGAATTTACCAAACTGAATTTGTTAATGTAACTTGTTGATGTACACAGTGCCTTTTCTCCTTTTTTTTTTTTTTTTTTTTTTGTTTGTTTTGGGTTTTTCAGAATTTGCAAGTCAGAAGCCAAAAAGGTAGCTGAAACAAAGGCTGAACACTGAAGGGAATCTATGCTGTAATGTGATGTTGAGGAGCTTCCTTCAATCATTAATCAGGCTTTGCTTTGTACTGTAGCACATAAAAGGGAACATGGGTGGAATGGCTCTAAAAGTAATCCATCAAAATATTGTTTTATACAGGATCCTTCACAAAATCCATCTTTCCTTCGCTCGGTCCTGCTTAGTCACAGAGTACTTCATCCTCTTTACATTCTCCCACTCTCCTCCTATACCATGTTTATGTACTTTTACAGCCCCAGCGTCACCTCTGCCTGGCTGAGACAGCTGTTTAGACAGATGACTGGAAGGGTCAAACAAGGTGGAGAGAAACATTCTTGCGTCACAAACACAGAGTACATTTGACAGAGAAAATGAACC